TGTACTTAAAAACTAGTTTTCAAAGTTAATTTTAGATTGAAATACCCTTTCAACCAGGTGTTTACACGTTCGCTTAATTTGCATAAAATGCTTAGTATGCACACTTAAGACAATAGGGGTATTCTCGAAGGCTTGCAAAGCGCTGTACAGTGCACGAATCGCACGGTTTGCAAAGCTGTCCAATGAAAAAACCGGTTTTGCAATCCGTGCATCGTGCGAGGGCTATGCAAGACTTCGAGGATACCCATAATATGTAATTGAAGGATGTGTCCTGCAAAACGTTAAACAAAAAACGGTGCACCGTTAGAGGTGGGACAGGATGTGCTTATGCTTGAATGTGAATTTGAAGCACAAAACCCCTACAGGACCTGGGGAAATGACAAATGGAAAAAATAATTTTCGAGAACAAAAACAAAGCTGTCATGCAAAACTCGTTTTTGAAAGAGACGAAAAAGGAAGAAAAAATTTCGTCATACTTCTTAAAAATAGCGGCAAAATATATAATAATATATGTATGTATGTATATAAACCAAAAAGGAAGCATATAAAAGGCAGTCACGTTAACGCAATCAACAGTAACAGGAGCAGAGCTGAACCCAAAAAATTTAAAAGCAATAACAAATGCCGTTTCATTGTTTTATATTCCTGTTTTCATTTGATTGGACTTTGCCTTGTGCCATTGCCGCACAGATTGCCAACTGTGCGCCGCCGCGGCATGCCACATTATACCACACATTTTTATATAATTTTAATATGGATGTATGTAGCATTGAAGCATACAAATTCTTAATCGAACAGCTGTAACATTGCGCCTGCGCTTTGCCTCTACCTTTTTTGTGTCGCATACAAGTCGACTATATTCAATCCAATGGCAGATGTTTGACTCAGTTGGACGCGCTAGCTGTAGCATAGGGCGCGCGCTAAACATTAACGACGAGCAGGAAAGCATAACAGTTGGGCAAGGGGAATGCCCTACATTGATGCATTGAACTCGCTGTGAAAACGTTTATATAGAATGCGCGCACTTTGGATTTTGACATTAAATTTATTAAGGTAAACTTTAGGTTTTATAGTGATATTCAATAGAGTTGGTCCATAATGTGATCAGAAAAATCATAGTTGTTAATTTATAAAATTTTTAAACTGGACATTGTAGGCCATATTTCTTGTCACATCCCCCTGGGATTTGTAATTTAACGAAGAAAGTTGAGTAACGCTTGTTGGTGTGCCCCAACTCAGGTAACATTTGGCTTTTGTGCAGCTGCCTAGCGTACCTATGTCAATTCAATGAAAACACATCCATTTGTACCTACACAAGGTCCTTTGCTTCAAAAACGTTGTTCTGCTCTCCTGTTTGTTATTGCTTACCGCTCCTGACATGCTGTTGACGCGCTCATACTGCTGAGGTACAATAAAATTAAAAAGGTGCAGCTGCTTGCCAATTTGGTCGGCTAGCAGCTTGTAAGAAGTGTACATTGCCAGCCAACCATGTAAGGACATATGTATGTACACATATGCACTTACAGTGGTATATATATATATGTATGCACATGAACATATTTGTAGGTATGTACTATGCACCTATGCTCGTTTGCCCAATATGCAATCAAGTACATACATATATGCAAATAAAGTATTAAATTATAAAACTAATAGTAGGTACTTTGTGGATGGATATTATGCATTGGTAAATCATGTGAAAATATGGTTTTGAAGATATGGAGGAAAATTAGGCAACACCCAAAGCCAGCGTAGGCAGCCACTGAATAATAATAGTAGATATAACAAATAAAAAAAGTAAGTATGTAGATTTTATAGATAGTTGCATGTAGAATTAGTAAGGTAATGAAAAGGTTCTCCTCCGCAACAACGCTAGAAGGGAGACCACTACGTGCTTACCTGTGTCACGGGATCCTTCATTATGAGTACATCGGTTACGGTGCCGAATACGTTAAAGTACTCTTTTAGCTTCTCCGATGATGTTTGCCAGCTAAGACCGCCAACGAAGAGCTTGCCCGGTGCTGGATCTGTTGTAGAGCTGCCGTTTACTGGCGTCGAGCGACCCGATGAACTAGTCTTTATGATAGCACCATTGGTGGTGCCATTATTTCCGCCAGCAACTGCACCAGCATTACCATTTAGCAACACCATAGCGTTCTGTTGCGACTGTTGCTGTTGTTGTTGAGCGGAAGCATTATTTGTATTTTGTTGTGAATGTTGTTGCGCCTGTGCTGCTGCTACTGCTGCTTGAGCTTGAGCAGTCTGTTGGGCTGCGGTGTTCTGTTGTTGTTGTTGTTGTTGTACCGATTGACTTTTCAAGACAGCGGCCGTTGTGTTGGTCAGTGTACCATTTACAGCAGCTGCATTGACCAGCGCATTATGCAAGTCCCGATGTTGTTGATCGATGAGTCCAGCCGCGGCTGCGGCGGCAGCTGCAGCAGCGTTATCAATGGGATTGCTGTGTGGATAGAAAAATGGAGGATTGGTTGTGGGTTCATCCTTAATGCGAGCTGCAGCAAGAGGTATTGCATGGGGATGGTGTTGTAACATGGTGACGCCCTCTTTAATGGCGTGTAAATCACGTCTAAGCTGAATTTTGAAGGATAACGGAGACCGAGTATGCGAAAACGACGAGTGTCCAGTTGCTTGGACTTTAAGCGCACAAAAGTGAGGTTAGAACGCAGATATGCTGAGACAAATAAACCGAGCTTAAACGCGCGAACGAATGTAACAAATAATTAATTTTAATTGCCGCGTTTTACTAAAAACATACTAGTCTATTCGAGTAAATAACTTGACAGTTTTGTGAAATTTTCACTTTTTCCACACGTCGAAAAAATAAACAGCAACGCTTTCAACACGGTTGCCCTGGGTAACTATGAAAGCCGTGGCTAAGTTGTTTTCTTGAAATAAATTCTGCTTTTCTGAGTTAATACACAAAGCACCAAATATTTGTGGTATTTATTGTTACTGCTTTTGCACAAAAGAAGTTTTAGTAGCACCCGCTGAATCACTATTCCCGCTATGTTTCTATTCCTTTCACTATAACTGCTTATCTACTTTTTCATGAACATAAAAGTTGTATGTATGCGATTTTAACATGCAAAATATATCAATTTTTATTCAAGAGCATAATACTTTAATGTCTCGATATATTAACAAACTCACAGCACAGATAAAACGATTCTTGCTTGACTACACTTCCTTTGGCTTTAAATTCGGTTCGTTTGCACCACCTTGCTTTTATACTCATATAAATTTTAAGGGAAAAGTGAGCAATCCTGGCATACGTGTTGTTGCAACATGTTCGTTTACACAGGTAGTTTTTTGAGCGCATTCAGCGCAAGCGCATACTGCTGAATTGGTTTGAAGGATCGCACAGTTGCATGAGCTAGTGATGGAAAAGCCTAATTCATAAAGCAAAATATGCAGACTCATATTTCAATGTTGTACCGAATACTTAAGTACATTGAAATCTCAATGAAATTATGATTGGACACGTAGGTCGCATTTTAAGCCTTTCGCAATGTTTCTGCCAAAAATAGAATGTAAACAGGTCTGTTTACTCATTATTTGCAGAAGAAAGTAAAGAAAAAATTCATCGTAAAGGGAAAATACAACTGATTTTCATAATGAAATGAGCACCAACTTAATATTTATTTATACAGAGTTTTCAATAAAAAAAAATTTTTTTTTCAAACAAAACTGGTTTTTGTACCGACAATGGATTATGTGTTACTAAAATACGTCCTACTAAACACAACACTGAACATAGAGGGAATAATATTTTGCATAAAGGTACAACTCCAAACGCTGTACGCTGTATTCAGTTACGGTCCTTAATGTTCCAGGAACCAAAAAGACAAGATCACGCGGGCAGGAGAGTAGCCCGTTAGAATCGCATTTAGGAAAAAAGTTGAACGATTTTGACATTAGCCGTTTGTTTACATTTCTTCGTTGTTTACAATTTGGTGGTGGCTTTTTACTGCAATTTTCTTCATTTTCGCTTGTGACAACGTGTGTGCACGTAAGATAAAGAATAATTTAACACAACGGCATGATTTATAGAAGAATTTGCATAATAAAAATGATTTTTCATGCGTTCAACAATTTCGCGGTTTTCTCCGTTCTCTTCGTTGTTTACTTCTTACAACAAAGATGGCGTCGAGATTTCGGCAGCTAGAAAATAACTTTTTTTGTTCTTTCCTTCCCGCGTGATCTTGTGTCTTTCGTTCATGTTAATGTTCGATGTCTGAAAGCCTCAAAAGCACCGAAACCTGAAAGACTTGTGGAGTTGTAGTCTAACTTATGTCAGTCGAAGGCGTATTCATACATATACAATAAATTCGCCTTTCCTTAGTCCAAACGTTATTTGAAAAATGTATGTACACATTTCGTCCTAAACTACACGAATATATGTATTTAAATGTGTCTTATAAAATTCAGTTATAATTCGACCTTATTGCGAATTCCATGTGAACAAATATTCCCAAAAATTATGAAGCAAATCCAAACTATTTTTTTCCAATTTCTTTTTGTTTTGCTGTTAAAGAAAAATCACGCTTTGAAAAATCTTATTTATTAATACCAGGCCTATGCCGTTTTACACAAACTTTCAAAAGTCGATTTCGAGTTGAAATCGTAAAATTTGGTTGCAGTTTTCTGATAACATGAGTAAATTTTCAGTTGATTTTGCAGGGATATCGATAACAGCTAGCCAAATTAAAATCGAGATTTTTTTCGGAATCCAAAGCCGGAATATAAATTAGACCAAAAAACTATTTATTTCAATGAAAAACTTAAAATTGAACTTCACCTAGATAACCCAAGGCATATTCAACAAAGAAGAGATGATTTCGACAGTGTCGCTCGTTTGGATTGCGACTGAATTGTCAAACATAGAACAAAATATTTCAAAACGTATTGAAAAGCTTGTTTGTATTTAAATTGTTTGTATTATTTGACACTGAAAAATCCAATCTGCTACCATTATATTCCTTTTCAATTAAATCATGATTTATTTTATTTCCTTTTAAACTTATACCGCTTTTCCACCAGACATTGAAATGCCAAAAAATATATGCCATTTAAAAAATGCCATGTGGAAACAAACATATTGCTGTTCCACTAATTCTGAAAAACTCCATTCTAGACCATACCAATTGTAACTTTTGTATTGGCTGGCGTTACTTGCGGATTCCTGTGGACACTTCGCCTCGCACTCACGCGCCACGACGTATGGTAAGCCCGTGAAAATAAAAAATAAAAATCAACATCGAAAATAAAATTATTTGATATTTAGCTACTTTGGCAAAATGCCGTATGAAGATTATACACCCATAAGGAAAAATCAGTTGCCACCGATAATGAAGGTGCATCATTATTCAAAATAAATGTTTCTTTTTATTCCTTCCGTCAATATAATAAATTCTAACTTTTACAGTTTCGTACGTACAATCAAAAGTATCGTTGGCCACCGGGTTTGGTTGCTGCGGTGAAAAATGGCGACTTTTAAGCAATCACAATTTAAATAATTGATCAAAACCGCATATAATGAGAACTTTAATTTTTAAAATGTACAATATTATATTTTATTTTTTTTTAGTAATGAAACATATTTACGATATTATGTTAATTGTATTTGAAGTAATTAAATTTAAAAAAATTCAAACAAATTTTAAGGAGAGTACCACAACTTTTAAAAACTTTTACCCAAACTAATTTCGAAATTCAAGAAAGGTTTATGTTTCAAGAAATGTATCCAAGTAACAGTGGAACTGCCGAAATAGAGAAATCTATTTATAACACTGAGTTCTTACAAAACAAAAAAAAAATCACGCTTTGAAAAATCTTATTGTATTATACGAAACTATTATGAAAGGTAACTTATTTAAATATTAATATCGTAACAGAACTTGAAGTAAAATAGAAGTAATTGGTAACGTATTTAGATTATTAACGTATGTAAATTTGCTTATAATTTTGGTAAAATAGTTTTTTTTGGCTTAGTATTTTAAATAAAGATGTTGGTATTTACTAGCACTAATTTTACTTCTCAAATAAAGTTCAATCAGCTTTGTAATATGTATTCTATTTTTTTCTCTTTTCAGTTGACTCCACTGTTTGTTATTGTTGGTGGCGCAGTTTTGGGCCTATTCTATGCTATCGTTCGAAATGGTCTTTCACGTGACGATGTGCGGTAAGTGGTATAAAACCATATTCATAAAAATCCCAAACTTTCCAGGCGAACAGAGCTTTTCGGGCTTTCAGCGCTCTTTTTAGCTGAAAGAGCAGAACTCCATACCAGGCTTTTCAGATGTTTAGCATTTTACACAGATAAATACAAACTGAAGGCTTGAAAAGCGCTGAAGGCTGCAAAAGCTTGATATAGATTTCCAAAACTAGAGCTTATATTAGGGGTCTTCACACCCATTTTGTTAGTTTTGGTAAACTGTTAGTTGTTACTCGGTAATTTTTTCATATGTAAACGTTCCATTCGGCTTACTTTTGTTAGTCTGATGAATAATGTTTATCAACAGCTGATTCATAGCTTTTCTCCTATAAAAAAATTAATTGTAAAAGAAAGTTGAATGAATTTTGCTTACTCATACATAAATATCGCTAGCTTAGAGTGAAAAGTTGCTAAGTCCACTTTTTATGAAAACTCATATTTTGATATAGGAGGCTAGAGAAATTAAATACTCATCGATTCGAAAATTATAAAGGTACTTGTTTAATTTTTTCCTCTTCATAAGCACTAAAAGGAAAATTTGCTAAGTCCAAAAGAAGCACCACAAATCCGATAAGGCCAAAAAAATACGACATCTTTTAATAAATATCGAATCCTTCTGATTCTTATGGAGTTTTGCTTTGCTTTAAACGCGCAAAATGTTTGATTCAAAGTCTTGCGAAATAGTTAAAGAAAGATTTTTTCCTCTCCTGTAAAATTTTTAAAATGGAACTTAGCAACTTTTCTTTCTAAGCTAGCGATATCAGTTGTGCCCTTTCGGTAGCGGGCGGATTTAAAATTGAATAAATATCGAGCAGTTGAGTGCAACTAGCGAAAATTTTTCAAGCTTTCCACCACGATAATTCGGTAGTCGGTAAACCGATATTAAAAAACATTTTACTCAAACAATGCGGAAAAATTATCGGTATGAAGACCCCTATTATTTATTCCTAGCTTGTAACCAGTGTTGCCATAACCACAGTTTTATGGCCTTATTCATAAAAGATAAAGTAGCTTTAAAAAAGGTTTATAAACTGAGAAAAGTATGAAAATGTCATTTTATAAAGCCGTTAAACCTACTATATTTTTTATGAATAAGACCATTAATCTTTTTCCACAATTAAAAGTTTGAACGAATAAATTAAATATATCACACGTTTAATAATATAAAGAATTATTTCAAAATTTTAATTTTATGGGAAACGACAATTTTGATTTATTACATCTTTATACACACCTTGCGACAGTAAATTTTACACACAAAAATGAATATGTTCGCGAAACTATAAGTCTCTCTGGCATCAGGATTTTTTTAAATGGACTGAAATTTTAAAAATTTGATTATTTAAAAAAAAAATAAATAAATTTTATGGTACATAAGGACCAATGGGTATGGAAGATGTCCTTTACAAATTTTGTCCTTAAATATCCTAGAAAATTTGCAATATTTATTTTTGAAAAAATTATTGCTTGAGGACTAATACCCACACGAGCCCATCATCGAATTTCGTCCTGCACACTTTATTATCTTAAAAATATAAAATTTATTAGAAGCGCATGTTCAAAAGGTACCTATTCGTCCTTGTAAACGAAAAAAACTTTATTGTTTTTAAACTCTACTGATTTTTTCTTTTATTTGGTATCCATATTGTTATTCTACATTGCACTGATTTTTTTTAAAATAATTTTTTAAATCAATCATATCATTAGAATTTCAAAATCCTTTGAAAAAAAAACATGACGGCAGAGCGAAAAACTAAAAACGCAGTTTTACTACATTTGGCCCATAGTTTTGTGAGTAAATCTATTCCTTCGCATTTTATGCGATATGTTTTCATTATTCTGGAAGTAAATTTTTAAGATAGAAAGGGGCGATACAGTGTTATCTCTTTTTAGAAAAATTGGAGTTCAGCTAAATTTCAGTAATACGGTTAAACACCCTAATTTTCCAAAAAATCACTTTGGTTTTGAAGGTTACAGTTTTTTTTTTGTTGAAAATACAGCTTTTTTCTTAGAAATTCGCAGTTTTTTGAATAAAAATCTGGCAACATTGCCTGTTACACATTTTTGAATTACGAATTGAAATATGCAAAAAAAAAACATCTCACAAATTTATCTTCTCTTTTTTCCACGAAAGGTTCTATTCCAGTGGCAAAATGAATTGCGAGGACATTGAAAAATCTGGGCCAAGAAAAGTAAGTTTATAAGTTGTAAGTTGTAGCGAGAATTTTAACACTAAACACATTTAAAATTTCTTTACAGTTCTTAGTTTTCAATCAAAAGTACAAAGTGCCTGAGGGTTTGAAGGAAGCGCTGGCTGCTATTGAAGAACCAACAGAAGAGGAAAAAATTGCAGCCACTAAGAAGTCTAAGTAAAAAACGAATTATTTTGAGAACAAATAAGGCGGTTTGTTAATGTATTGTTTTGGAAAAGAGTAGTTAAAGTTAAAAGAAAAGTTATGGCTGGATTAGGACTAAAGAACAAATGGTTAAGTATTGCATATTTAAAAAATTATTGTGTCCAATAGTTGTTTTAAAAAAGAGTTTATTGCTTAAAAATAGCAGCGATTTGTAAAAATGCTTTTTATTTATTACATAATTTATTATTATTATTTTTTAAATATGTTTAAAAAAAGTATACTTCTGGGATGCAGATTTTCAAAAAATCTACTACATATTTACAGAAAATGTGTGGTAAATTTTCACTGTAGCAACGCCTTTTAGCTTTATTTATTTTTAAAATAATTTACATAAGTTCCTTGTTTTCTGAGAAGTCTTTTTTGTTTTTCTTTAATTTTAAATATTAAATAATTTTATAAATGTAAAGCAAAATCGAAATCTAGAATAAAATATAATCTTTGTATGTGTGTATTTGTATAAAAACGGGTTTGAAAAAATATAACATTAAAAATAAAACAAAATTATTGTTGGTTTTTTATAGCACTGTGGCTCGCAAAGGATTAAGGAGGAGTATTGAGCGGAAGTAATGCGGTCCGTTTAAATTTAAACCCAGTCTCGATTTTCTTCACTTCAACTCAACTCAATTAAACCTAACTGAGGCTCAACTTGCATCAACTCATCTCAGAAAATTACATAAATTGTCAAAAATTGTCAATAATTCCCAAAATTTTTAAGACGTGACGAATATCCCGAAGTAGTCCCGAAAATCCCAAAAAAGCCCCGAATTCATTCCCGAAAAATCCGAAATCCAGATATAGTCCCGAGAATTCCGAAAATCCTCAAGTAGTCTTGAAAATCCCGAAATAGTCCCGAAACTCGAAGAGTAGTGCCAAAAATCCGAAATACAGTCCCGAAAATACCGAAATTCTTTGTTTTTATACCAAGTAAATAGCAAGTATTTAATATTTCGTCAAATTAGAAATACTGATAAATACCATCATACTTGGTATACAGGGTGTCCTTGAGTGCACTTCCGGTCTATTTAACTCACTTCCAGCTGGAACTAGAAATCCGTAATACAGCAATAACATAGAGCACTTGTTCATCCATTTGAAGCAATAAGTGAGCAATCAAGGCATATTTTTTTATTTTTCCAAAAAATTGTATTGTTAAAAATTAGTATAAAATGCATGAGGCTCAAAGATTGCTTGCAAAAGGAACGATCTAAAGTTTATTATTAAATTGGGATGATATCCTATTTTTGACTGGATTACCAATAATGAGCGGAAATCATTCGCACATGTGAGTGCGTGTGCATACCCGCTTAAGTAAACAAATGCATTTCCAAAGATAAGCTGTGAGCCGAAGTTTATGCATACATATACATATGTACATATATACATAGGCATGCATAACTGAATACAATATACATATATGAAAGGATTTCGAAACTTCAACGTTTATCGATTTACCATTGCGGTCGGAAATATGTTTGTATGTATGCCGACACCCGCTGTTATTCGAGCCGTTCACCATTGTCAGGACAACTGTCAATAACAACGAGTTAACTGAGTTAAATGCCAGTACATATTTTTGTAAGGATATGCATTTTTAGATATGTGTACCATACATATATATGTCCACACAGACATACATGTCCATAAAGCCATACATACGGACAGTAGGGTGCATCGCTGTCTAGTTTTCGTATTCTTTTCTCAACACCTTCACGGGTATATGCGTGCTCTTTGCATTCTTATAATGTTGCCACATAAGGTGACATTTTTTTTGAGAAAGAAAGTTAGGTCATAAGTTGTGGTTTTTCCACCGAAATTATAAAATTTATTATATTTAAAATTTTCCGTCAAAATATTTCGGAAAAAATTAGGATTCCGTGAGCTGGGCTGATTTGCAAATACCTCCAAAAATCTCATTATTTTTATTCTTTTGATAAAATTTTTACGCACTTTTATGAAGAATTTTTAAGCTTAATATAAATAATATTTTAAAAAACTACTTTTGTTTACAAAACACGAATTTTGTAGGTAATTTCTAGCTCAAGTAAATCTTAATATATTTCCATAATAATTTGGCGGAAGTCTTAAAATGCACCCTAACGTACATACGTACATTAAAACGAAAAAGCAGTAATCACGGTAAAAAGATTACAATACGCAGGAAGGGAGGTCGTCTCTTCTTACATATTCTCAGTTTTATTCTATAAGCAATGCACAATCCTTCTTTAGGTTTATGTACTAATGTAATGTAATGTACATGTACATATGTATTACATGCAGATGTACATATATAGAGTGTAATATGATATCTACGAGCATGAACTTCGATTAACCCTAAGGTAGCTAAAAGAGTATGTATAAATCTTTTAACACATACATATGTTCATACATACAAACATACCATATGTAATCAAGTATACGAGAGTACCTACATACGTGTTTATATATGTATATCCCTATCTTCCAAACCACCTTTCTTTAAATGTAATAATTTAAAAATGTAGGTCTTGGAGGAAACCCCACTCTTTTGTAGTCACTTCCATGTAGAATAGCAATCAAATATTGAAAAGGAGGCGTTCGAAAGAGATATCGATACTCGATTAGTTTGTAGAATATACATATGTACAAGAGCCTATACAAGATTAAAAAAAAGTTTGGCAAGACGGAAATCTAGATGCCTATGGTGATATCCTGCAAAAGATACAGACCTTAATCGAAGTTTGAGAAAGCGCCAAAGTAACTGAGATGGTAAGGAACACGTCAAACCTATGCGAAAATATGTAAATGACATAAGTCTAATATCCGCTGCGATCAGCCGAACTGCGCCTGCGGTAATGCCTGGGCACAAACAGACTTGTTAAGCTCGGCTTAATAAACTTTTTTTCTTTCGACAGCTAATCGTGGGCGAATTTCTCAAAGAAAGAATAGGTAACTCCTGTGGAAGAACTTATGACGAGAAAGCTATTGCCCCCAAGTGTACCAAAACAATGGAAAACCATTTTTAATTTTTTTTTGGTCGCTAAAGAAAAAACTCAGGACTCTTCTAAAAGAATGTCATTATCTAATGAAATTGCATTCAACGTTTAAAAAAACTTTAAAATTTGGGTGTTGGTGTTGGTTGATTTTTCCGACTGGGTGGTAAGATGATTTATTTTGGAACGAAAAATGACACTGAAGATGGCACAATGCCGAAACCGGTTTGTATGCTAACCAAACTTGACAAGGGATGACGGAAATTCGTTCCAAAATAAATCATTCAAAATTTGGCTTTACTCTCGATCACGGGATTGAATAGAATTTGTGTAACCTCGGCTCAAGAGTCACTTCTGAAAATAGTTCCGCTCCATATTTTTTACAAGAAGCAAGCAGCAGTACGATTTATAAAAATACGAACTTTCTAACTATGCTAAAAGAAATTTGCTTTGGCAGGCAATTCAATGGAAAAAACCCAAACTGGGAAGTATAAGCAAATGAACGCCGCTACGTTGGTCCCAGATATATACAAATGTATGCATATTGGTACACAGACGGGTCTAGGCTGAGAGGCAGAATAGGTGCGAATATTTATGAACCTTGGCCTTCTAAGTTTCCATTGTAATGAACGTCGAATTGGCGAGAAGAGGCTCTTCTTGTTCTCGTGTGGCCGCAGAAATTTTTACTCAACGTCAAACTCGTAAACTCGGAATGCAGTAAGTACTGAGGAGGTCTGAGAAAGGGCATGTTCTTTGGATATCATTCAGCTAGAACAAACAGCAATCTTCTAAACGGTTGCTTGCTGAATATTTTACCAGCTTATTGAATCGCATGGAGACAAATTGCCAGCTTTGTCTTGAGGGCGACGAGATGACGGACACGGAGACAAAGAGCAAGGTATTTTACTTCCTCTACCGTCGATCCTAGATCCAAACCAGACCCGAAATGGTCTTGAACTAGTCCCGAAACAGTCCTGAGATTGTCCCGAATAGTCCGGAAATATTTCCGAAATGGTACTGAAATAGTCTTGAATAGGTCCCGAAATAGGCCCGAACAAAATGACATTCTTGCGCCTTTCATGAGTCATGTATCGGCAGACTATACCGTAAATAAATACGATACTACTAGTATACCTACAGGTATATGTGCTGATGCATAGCCGGAGAATTGACATTTCGGACATCTGCATGCTAAAAATACCATTCGCTAGCTGGAAAAAATTATGGAAGGCGAACTGGTTGAACTGCAAAGCTAACCGGTAGAACTCTAGTGCACAATTACTAGTAGCTTTCCCTGCAGGGTTGCTGGCCAAATTTTCGCGTAAGACCTGATAACACCGTGCAACAAAAAATAACCAATTTCAACCACGAGTAAATCAATTGCTTAACGCAACTAGGGACCAAGTGTAGTAAAACCACGTTTTAAGTTTTTCTCTTTGACGTCATGATTTTTTAAGGACTTTGAAATTACGAAGATATGACCAATTATAAACATTAATTAAAAAAATTCAGTGCAATGAACAATAAAATTATGGGTACCAAAAGAAAGGGAAAATTCTGTAGAAATAAAAAATACAATTTATGCGTATTTGTTTAAGCTAATAAAGTTAGAAAAACGAAATACGTGGATTTTGCTCTGTATGTTTGTATATATTAGACTTTAACATGTTATTTATATAAATATTACAAATTTTCAAGGATGTCTAAGGATACAATTTTAAGAGGGCATTTTCAATACCTATTCGTCCTTATGCACCAAAAAAGTGAATCTTTTCTAATTGTACAGAATTGTCTTTTAATTTCATACCCATACTGTTATTGCAAATTAAAAAAAAAATTTTTTTTTAATAATTTATTGAGTTAACATTATAACTAAAATTTCAAAGTTCTTAAAAAGTCCTAACATCAGCTAGAAACCAAAGTTTTTTTTTTTTTATATTTTACCCAAGGGGTCGCGAGTATATTGATTTCTTGCGCACAGTGTAACACTTCCGCAATCGTCTAAGCTCAAAAATACCCCTCTTCAATAATACCCGTTTTCAATTTACTTCCAGAGTAAGTACATACAAACATATGTAAGTATGCGTTGTCTAATTAAAATTTTTAGCCACATCATTTTAGCCTATCC